CTCTTTTGATAAGAACAATATTTATGAAATTTAATTTATTAAATTACCGCATATAAAACAAAAGTTTGGAATTAATCAAAGCATTTCATTTAAATATGGTTTTTAATACTATAATAGATTAAGTTGTTGTCAACACGTTCACCTTAAGACGAACAGCGCCATCTAATGTATATAGGTTCAATTGTTGAAGAATGTAATTCCCAAGTCGCCATATTTGATTTTACATGCATGTTTATAAACGCTGGTAAACCAGGTAGAAACACCAATTTTCAAGCTGGCAGACCTAACACAGGACTACTGTACTAGATTAGAGCAGTTGAGTGTGAAACAGAAGCAACGAATGCACACAACCAGATTGAAAGACAAGCTGTTAGCACATATCCTAGGTGACGTGTTGCTAGCATTTGATGATGATATTGGCCTAGTTCTCTCTGATGCATTTCACATTTCACAAAAACAATGATTCTGACGCAGTGACTCTTGCACAAATAGTACGTCATAAACTATTTACAGAAACAGAATTATTCAATGGTACATTCCAACCAGACTTTCAACATAAGTCAGTACACTCATCACCCCTAGCACTAGTAAATATGGTTCTTGAGGGTCCCAATATAAAATATCAAGCAGCTAATCCAAAATAACCAAGCAGCACTAACAATTGCTCAATTAATGAAGTTACAAAGTGTGAAGTTACAAAGTGCGCATAGAAGCAAGTTTCATGAGGCATCTGAAAAGCAGTGAAACACCTTTGCCATTGTACATAGGAACCATGATTCATGCAAAAAACAAAACAAAACAACAACATAAAAAAAACGAGCATTGATAGACAGACTTTCTGAACTGGGCATTTCTGTGTCATATGACAGAGTTTTGAGGTTGTCTGCTGACCTGGCAAATGCTGTATGTGAGCGCTTTGCAGAGCACCAACTTTGTCGTGGTGTATTTGCAACAGCGGCTGTCGATAATATTGAACACAATCCCTCATCAACAACTGAAACAGCCTCCTTTCATCGTACCGGAATCTCATTGATACAGCATCCGAGTGTCAAAGACAAGATAACGAACTCATCATCTACAAAATGTAGCTATGATGGTTGGGCTGCATATAGAAATGGCTGCTTTAAAAGCTATGTGTGGTTGGACAGATATAGTGGTTCTTGCAGAGGTTACCACACCTTGAATGGCAGATTCTTTCTTACAAGCTTCCCATGTGACACGTACAAGATATGCCCACCAGATCACTGCTGCATGTCTTTGTCAACTTCAATACCAGGCTTACAAGACGTATCGTGTGTCTGATCCAACTGAAGTAGCAGTAACTTTTTCTTCCTGGTGCAGTGAAAGAGCTAAAGAAATTCTACAATTTCTCTATTGGAGCCTGACTCTTGAAATGGAGCTTCCCATAATGACTTTTGTTCTATCACTAAGGGAATCAAAGTTTGCCTTATACATAGCAG